TATTTCGAAATTGAAGGACGCTAATTTACTCAAAATTGATACACCTCGGCTTACCATCTAGCGGAAGGTTTCGGAAGGGTGAAAAAACATATATTTAATACTTGCGCCGGGTATTTAATGTTCGGCTCCGCCCGAACTTAGACTTTCTTACTTGTTTGTTTTTAGTTTACTTACATGTATAGGCAGCCAACAGATTGCGAAAGCAAGCACAACCACAACGACCATCCGGGTTACACGCCGTTTTCCCTTTCTGATGCAGCGAAAAAGGTACAAAAAGAAAAAAGATGGAATATTAATTACCGAAAGCAATAAGCAGTGCCTATGTACATATGTAATTAAAAGTTTTTTTTTTATTTAAAACTTGCGGTATTTATGTGTGCTTTGAGTTTGCCAAGAACTTTATGACAAAAGAGAATGAACGCTGAATGGATGCCACGCACCTGAGGGGCGAAGTTATGTGATTGGAATTTGCTGTATTTTTTTAAAGTTTCGGGAAATTTTAAAGTAAAAAGCCGGTGCAACATTGAAACGAACATTTTTTCTGGTTTCCTTTTATCTGAAAAATATCATATCTCTCTGCCAAAGAATGCGCGTACCTTTGACAGTAATATCGCAAAGATTGTAAGTATGCCAACAGTTAATTGGTGAGGTCAAATGATCGCTCAGCGACAGGAAAATAAAAACTCCTAGTTTTAACACAGGAAAATTAATCCTCGTTGTTTAATACAGTTTTTAAAACCAACTACGTAACATTAACAGGTTATCGATAGTTTTAGTCCCTACGATATTGACAAATAAATACAACTACAAACAGAGTCAGTCCAAGACCTCCTGCGGCATTATTGTTTCCTTCTTCTCTGGCAGTTTACGTAACCCAGTAATGAAAGGACCGGAACTCAAAAGTGACCGATTTAATGAATTTGTGTTTCGTATGCTAGATGTGCACTAGGCTGGGCCGATTTTGTATGGGGGAAAATAAAATGCATTTGACCGTATTGTAATAGTAATATTATGATGTCTTATGTCTAAGCCAATTGTTATTGGCCACGAAAGATTAATTCAAAACGTATCCTTAGCCCGCGCAATTGAATCAAAATGTATGACTTTTGAAAATGAAAAAAAAAAAATGGCTAGTAATATCTATGGAATGCGTCAATTGTTATAAACAGGACGATATATCAAATTAAGGGCTATTAAATTTAGTACCTCACGTTCATTTGTCATTTTTCAACAAGACTCCAAGTTTTTAAGATATTAAGATAAAACTTACAAAAACTATAATTTTCCTTTATAAATTTTCAATTCTTCATTACTTCAGGAACCAAGTGAAAAATACAAAAAAGTGAGACGCGATTTATTTCAAACGTTTTAATGTTTTCGGATGTTTATATAATATTAAAAGCACCATGGGCTTGGTCACGCCGATTTGGTCAGTTTTCAAGATCGTGGTGAATGAAGTCAATCGCGTATTGTCAATATTTAGGAGTCGTTTGATAAGTTAATAGTAGTTTCAAGCATATAAGTATTTACAAACATTAACATAATACAATTAGGGTGAGAAACGCCCACTTTAAGTCCATTTATGTTGTCTTGAAAATTGGTGCGGAATGGTTTCATTAGTCATCGAAGAAGCACATTTTTCGCGGTTTCTAAATTGGCCGTTATATGANCGCGGTTTCTAAATTTGCCGTTATATGAAGGTAGGGGAGGTGCAATAAGTGTTTAGATATACAAAAATATTTTAGTTAACTCCATTATGTGAGAAAGTGACTGTAGATAAATGCAATAGTCTTTAACATATCTTTGGAAATCCTTTTGAGGACTCTCCAATTGGACAATATTGCTTTGCATTCAGCTTGAACGAAAAAAGTTTCTCCCTGGCACACTTTTCTGCAATTCGGTTCTTTCATTTAAACGTTATTTATACAATTGAAGGGACACTTTTTTAGAAAAAAACTTGAGATCCGCCTAAGTTTTTCGATATAACTTTGGTAAATGTTACTCGATCGGTATGTAATAATTACCAAATTNTCTCCCTGGCACACTTTTCTGCAATCCGGTTCTTTCATTTAAACGTTATTTATACAATTGAAGGGACACTTTTTTAGAAAAAAACTTGAGATCCGCCTAAGTTTTTCGATATAACTTTGGTAAATGTTACTCGATCGGTATGTAATAATTACCAAATTGAAGGCGAGCCTTACTGTTACTGATTTATGATAATAATATGATGAAAATCATTCAGATTATAAACAAATTATTTTAAAATAAAAAAAATGTAAAAAATTTTTTTTTGTCATTTTACTACATTTGCAATTTTTCTATTGTATGCATAAACATATGTAAACTAATTAGTGTTTCTAGAAGTTGTGCCTGTTCAGTGTTTCCATACTCATTTGCATAAACAAAATTTTTCCACGATGAAGGAAAATAATGGCTGTTCTATTAGAGCTACCGAAATTGTTTCTAAATTTGCAAAATTTCGCAAACTATAGCTAATATTAAAAAAGGATTAGAATATTTTGAACCAGCGACCTAAATGCACGCTAGCAATATTAATGATGTTCTTTACATCGTTCGACTATAGGCCAGTGCAATTATCAAGAGAACAATTAAAATTTTATTGAAAACAGATACCTTTGAGATTAACATAAGCTAAAGGGCTGCGAGAAATGATATTTGCACCAAACCTTTTGCTAAGCCCAGAATTTTTAACAAGAATTGGTCTTATTCGACTAGTGGGTCACTTGACGGTCGATGCTCGGGCTCTTACAATTAAAATAAAAGACTAATATTTTGCAGGCTTCTTGGTCACTTCATGATACAATATATTTTCACTATTACCAAGGGATTTGAGAATCGCCCTAATGTGCACGCTGTTCACTATTACTGCGTTTATGCGACAGAATTTATGAATTCTTCATTTCATGAATTCAAAAAATGGTGAAATAAAGAGCACTAGCGAGAAACGAAATAGTAGGGTTGTGGCTTTTTTGGCCTCCTTTTGAATTTGAAAAACCTGTTGGTACCAGGAAATGAGCCACATATATTTAAATGGGTTTTAATATATTTTCATTTTATTTTTCATTTTCCAGTGTTGTAAATCCTGTCTATGCCACTTATGCTTTTTAATCTAAAAATAACATAACCCTAGTAAACAGCTGTATGTGGATCGTAGCGTTGCCGGACTTGCACTTCATGATTTCATGAAATGATGCCGAATTCATGGTTAACTTTCGTGTGTAATTGAATTCATGAAGTGGTTTTTATGCAGTCAATTTTAACTCAAATTCATGAAATGAATTCGTGAATTAGCCTACTCATAAACAGAGTATATGTACGCTCCCTTGAAACATGCACGTTTGTAATCGACGCTTCGCTGTTCGCTTTGCTTTTCTCTTTGCTCGCCGGTATAGTATGTTTTTAGCCTTAAAGTTAATATTTCCACTGGACTAATAATAATAATGCTGATGTTGATAGATAACTCATACGCAAAGGCAAGTCATTTAGACTAGCAGGCATATATGTAATACTTTCCATATTGGAAGTATCTACAAGTGCAATCAGCAAATATTACAGTACAGATGAATAAAAAAACGAAATGGAAAACCGGGTAATCGTATGTAAAATGACACTTCAATTCAAAACAAATCGCACTGGCGGAACGTTAAAATAATATTACAGGGAATTTTTAATATACATTTAATTGCATGAATTTTATAATAAATTAAGTTATAGAAATGTCGCACTGACGCTTTTTATGCGAAAAAAGAAGAGATTAACTGAATACAAGTAATTTTTAGAAAAAAAAAACGACTTCAACTCCCATATTAAAAAAATATATATATATATATCTCATGATCCACTGATCGGATCTTAACCAGATTAGTATGGGACCACCTCTGAGACACTACCTTTCCGATGCAAAAAGAATTATCGCGGTCCAAAGTTATGCGGTAACATACATAAAAAAAATAAAAAAAAAATAAATAAATATTCCGACGAACTGATAAACTCCTCCTTTTTTGGAAGTCGGTTAAAAATAGCTTTACATGCGACAAATTATCTTTTAATGAATATATAAAATTGTCGGTTGGTGGATTATGTATTTGAATATTTGCGAAATACACTAGGACACTAGGAAATAAAATTGTTCCTTCAGTACGAAATCTATACAAAAATTATGCTTTTCGACTGTAAATTGCATCGACATTTTAATTTGCTCATATGCATGCATGCATACATAGATTCCCTTCAAGACCAATGATTTGATGGTATTTACGGGAAAGTTTATGTACGTACATTTACATATTTTACACTTTTAACATAAATGTTAAGGCAGATATTTTAAGATGCACTTCTTCACAAACAAATTATTTTAAGTTATTATGAATGGATAAAAGAGACATCTTCTTTGAATTCAGTACTAAAATTTGACATTTCAAGTGCTTATCAAAAATGTATACATGTTAACTAGATTCGACATTTATCTTAAAATTATATAATTTTAATTATTTGTTTATACAAATGCAGTTTACACTTTAACAAAACCCGTATAAATCCAAAGTTTAATCTTTGCGCAACATTAAAAAAATCAACAAATTTTCGTAAGGCTTTTTAATTAGATTTCCTAGAAATACATATTTTGAGTATGCAGTTTTGTAGCCCGATCAATTCAAATAAAGCGCAAGTTTAAAATACATAGCTGCGACTTATCGTTGATTTTTAATATATTGCTTTTTTTTATGAAGGCGTTGCTCATTTTCTTCATTAAAAAATCGTCGAACATACTTAGATAATATGGAAGAAAATTACCGACATCGTCAAAAATATGCCATACATCAACTGTTAATCACAGCTGCTTTAAATTTGCACTTTATTAGACTAAAATTGAATGAGCTAAAAAACTGCAAAATATTAAGAGATAAAATTGAAATAGAAAGTTCGAAATTTTTACGAAAGTTTGTCGATTTTTTTTAATGTTGTTCAAAGATTAAACTTATTTTCATTTAGTGTTTGTTAAGGAATAAACTATATTTTTATAAACACTTAATTTAAATTAAAATATAATAAAATAAATAGTCAAATCTAGTCAATATGTGAGTGTTGTAAAGTTATAATATTTAAAAACATCTCTTTCTTAATTAACGATGACACTGTTTCTATATGAAGATGATTTCGACATTTTGTTTTAACAAAATTTAGCATCGAAAATGTTCTTTCAAAACTTGCCTAGGAATGTGATATACT